TTTCTTTCAGTCTTTCTGGAGCTGCTTTGGGACATCCCATGTCCCAATCATCTTCCCTGACATCTGTACATCTTTGTCCTGGTGGCCATTTTGTTGTAGTCTGGGCTGCCTGCTGTTCCACTTCCCTTGCTGTGCAGTGCTTGGGATACGGTGGCCATGTTTTTGGGGCCTGTAGTCATTTCCTGCTGGCAGACACTTTGTTGTAGTCTGGCGGCAGCCATTTTCTGGTGGACTGACTTGCTAAGGATGTCCCGTGGAAGGCAGGGAAGTGGCAGCCATGCTTCTAGAGCCATGCAGCAGTGGCTGCTCCACTTTTTCCTATAGCGGACTCCTGGGCTTCCTCTTTCCGTGTGCTCTGCTCCCTCTTCTGGTGGCCTGCTGTTGGTGCCCATCCCACGGTGGTGGTGAGTCCGTGTTTGGAATCCCCCTCTCTGCTGGTATTTTGTGGTGTGTGACCAGTTTTCTGGTGGTGCCTTTTTTCTTCTTGGGGTCCCCTCTCTGCATGCAATTTCAGGATCACACATCTCCACCTGATCCCCTCCTGGAGTCGGCAGGTCCCTCAGGGTCTGTTTTCTCTTGATGCACTGACGGTGGTCCTGAAGTCCTTTGTTTCCCTGATTGAGGTGGTGTTTGGATGTAAGACCAGCAGGAAGCATTCCCCCACCTGTTTCTTCAGCCTTGTCAGATCCTGAGTCCGGCTCTGCCATTGCAGATGCAGAGCGCCCTGTGGGACCTGACATCAAGCTTCCTGATCTTTCTGATCGTGAGGCTGATTCCTCTACTGCCGCAAGAAGCGCTGTGGGACCCACTTAAAACTTCATTGTGTGAAACATTGAAGCTGAAGGATGCAGCATAGACAGTTGCGGATGTGGCTTTTCCCTTTGGTACGCACAAGCCACCTTGTGCAGCTAAGGCGTTTCTTTATCCCGCCTATTTTGACATGTTTGTCTACAAGAACTGGAAACGCCTGACGTGACCCTTTGTGGTCCCCATACACTGCTGTGTGTTATTCCTTTGAGGAATCCCTTTTGAAGAAGTGCACCGCTCTGCCGGTTGTGGACCCTCCCTATTCCAGGTTGAATTAGGCAACCATTATCCCATTGGAGGAATCTCCCTTTTTAAAGGATCCGGCTGACAGAAAAGCAGAGCCTGCGCTATTTCTATTATTGCTGGATTTGGCCTTTTAGCCTTTGGTATCTCAAATGCTCACTGAATGAACTAAGCTTTTGCGCCCTGGCCTGGGTAGTGAGAAAGTTCCTCCTGCTTTCGTGGAACCGGCAGATCAGTTGAACCAGGGGCTTCGGTGTGTGTGCATCTTTAAATACGGCCCCCTTTGCTTTTCAAGCTCTTTCTCGGTGGTGGTGCTTTGGTACGTACTGTGGCTCAAGTGTTGGTCTGCGGATAAAACATCCAAGACTGCGCTCACCAATTTGCCTTTCCAAGGCGACTGCCTGTTTGGGGCTACCTTGGATAGCATCATTAAGAGTCTCAAAGAGGGGAAGAGCACATTTCTTCCACAGTCTTTTTTTTTTGTGCACCCGGACCCACGGACAATGCCAATAAATTCTTCAAGCCCTTCCCAGGAGGTTTCAAGAGTACCTGGTCAGGCAAACCTTCCAAGTCCTCTTCAGCTTGAAGGTTTGCCCCTACCTGTGTCTTGGGTGGGGGACGTTTTCACTGGTTTGCAGCCCCGTTGACCACCTTAGTTTCCGATAGGCGCGTTCAAAAGGTAATCCTTTAAGAGTACAAGATAAGAGTTTTACTCCTGTCCTCCGGAAAGATTCTTTCCTTCCAATATGTGTCTCTCTCCGGATAACCTGCAGGCTCTCTACTGGCCGTGCAGGATCTGCTAGTGCAGGGGGTAATCGCCTCGGTTCTGGCCTCAGAATGGTTTTGAGTGTTTTATTCCAACCTGTTTGCCGTTCCAAAAAAAGGAAGACAAGGTTCACCTGATTCTGCATCTCAAGGCCTTGAATCTCTGTTTTAGTGCAAAAGTTCAAAATGATTGCCTTCCTACATCATGGGAAATTCCTGGCCTCTATTAACATCAAAGATGCCTACATGCACATTCCAATTTGTAGACAGCACCAACTTTTCTTCCGATTTGTGGCTGGGAGGTGCATTATCAGGTTTTCATCAAGGTGATGACCTCCTGCTATGGGCAGAGGCCTCCTTGGCATTACGGGACAACGTGGTGATCATGATCGATACCTTCCAGGCTTCTGACCTACCCAAAATCTGCCCTCACCAGGAAGTTGAAATATCTGGGTCTGACGATTGACTCGATGCTGTGTTTGCCCCCTCTTGTCCTGCAGGCTCTCTTCTCTCTGTCCATGCATGCTGGTTCTGGGCCTGATAGTGTCTTCCTTCAAGGCAGTTCCATATGCACAGTTCCATACGAGGATCCTCCAGCAGGAGATCTTTTTGAAGAGGGATAAGTCACTCAACAGCTTGGAGACACAGATCTTGGTCGGGAGGCCAGTGGGTCCTTGGCTTGGTGGCTTCAGTCTCTGGCCCTTCATGAAGGAAGATCTTTTCTTCCTTTGTTTTGGATGGTGGTCACGACGGATTACTTGCTTTATGGATGGGGAGGAGTTCTGGTGCCAAGGTCGGGTCACGGTTGCTGGACGCAGGAACCCAGATTGCTGATCAATGTACTGAATTTTCAGGTGATCAGGCTGTGTCTGAAGCAATGGACGGAGCATCTTGGGGGTCCGAATCCAGCCAGATAATGCCACGGCAGTGTAAATCACTGGGGTGCTGAAGGCTTCTGGCATTCTCAGGTGGGCGAACACTACGTGCCGGTGCTCTCAAATTATCTTAGTTGGCAGGAGCTGGATCAAAGAGTGGTCCCCACATCTGGACGTGTTTCATCAACTGTGTCTGTGGTGTGGCGCTCACGACGTGGTGACTCCAGTATTGCCTCTTTAACGCTTTCCCTTCTCTCAAGCTTTTTCCACGCCTCTTACGCAGGAGGCAGAAAGACTTCCAGTCATTCTGGGGACCCCAGATTGGCCCTGCTGGCACTGGTACTCTGATGTGGTGCAACTGGTCACAGATGAACTTTTGGAGACTGCCTCTCTGGAAGGATCTGCTGTCCCAAAGACCGATCTTCCACTCTGGTTTACTGTCTTTGGCTTTAATGGTTTGGTGTTGAGAGAGAGGCTTGTCGGGGTCAGTGATCCCAACTATGCTGAAGGCACGGACGTCTATCTCTAGAAGGATCTACTATCATACCCGGAGGGCGTACATGGTGTGAGACGGCGGGCATCCACCCAGTTCCTGTTCAGTGGCTCGAATTATGTCATTTCTTCAATGTGGTGTAGATCAGAAGTTAGCCTTGAGTGCCATCAAGGGCCAGGTGTCCACTCTGGCGTGTTTTATTCAGTGTCCCCTAGCCACGCATTCTTTGGTTCGTACTTTCATTCAAGGGGTTCAGCACTTGGCTTCTGTGGTGTGCTCTCAGTTGCCGCTGTGCGACTTGAACCTGGTTCTCTCTGCCCTCTAGAAGCTTCTGTTTGAGAATATTTGGGAGATATCCTTGCTTGCATTGTCACAGAAGGTTTCATTTTTAGTGGCTATTACCTCTGCATGCAGAGTGTCAGAGCTGGCGGCCTTATCCTGTCATACTCCTTATTTGGCTGTTCACAAGATAAAGTGATTCTCTACCCATGCCTGTTCTTTCTGCCGAAGGTTGTCTAAGATTTTCATTTGAATGAAGACATTGTTCTGTCTTCTTTGTGCCCCAGGCCTTCACATCCCAAGGAGTTTGAGTTGCACACCCTGGATGTTGTTTGGGCGTTCTCGGTTGTATCTAGCGGCTACAGAGCACTTTTCAGTGGTTAGACGTTTTTTTGTGATCACGGACGGGCTAAGGCTACTACCATCTCCAGGTGGTTCAGACCTACCCCCTAAGGGTCAGGTTCCTCCCTTTTCATAACGGCACACTCTACTCGGGCGCTTAGTACATCTTGGGCCTTCCATCACTATGCATCGGTGTCTCAAGTTTGCAAGACGGCTGCCTGGTCGTCAGTTCACACCTTCACAAGTTTTACAAAGTGGATGTCTTGGCATCTTCGGATGCTTGTTTTGGCCACAAAGTTTTGAAGGCAGCTGTTTGAGGGGTCTGTTCCCTCTTGAGGGGGGGTGTATTTCTAGTTGGGCTGTTGTGTTCTTGCTGAGCTCCTATTGGCCTGTTTTGATTTTTTTTTTTGGCCTTGGGTTTTCCCACCCCTCACTTTTTTGGCACTGCTTTGTGATGTCTCTGTGGTCTAGAATATGAAGAGCTGTCTGTCAATAAAAGTAAAGGAAAACTGGATTTTTTTTTTTTGGTTACTGCAAAATCCCTTTATCGGAGTATGATACTTCTGACACTGCTTGTTACAAAACTGGATGCTTATAGCAGATAGGGGGTTTTATACTGCTAGGACTACCCATCGGTGTTGCCAAGTTTATTTTTTGCCCAGTGTCCTACTCAAGTAGGTGGGGCTATGACCCTATGGTCTAGAATATGAAGAGCTCTGTCCATCAATGAACTCAGAGAAAGGGATTTTAAGATAAGTGACAAAAAAATCCTATTATTTGGTTTACCTGCAAAGTCTTTCTTGGAGTATATCACAGGACAGAGACCCCCCCCGTCACTCTTTCTTTGTGGTTCATAGCTTGCCAACTGGGGAGGGGTTATGCCTGGGAGGACTTCCTGTCTTCTTTTTTTTTTTTTTTTTTGCCAGTGTCTAATTATCTGAAGATGGCAACATAAACTTATTTGTAATGAATGTTAAGGCGCTCTGTGTCCCCCGGTGTACTTAAAGAAAAGGATTTTACAGGTAAACCAAATATCCCATTTTAATACATATCTGCATTACAATGAGTTATTTTAACTATTTACTTGGAGTTCCACTTTAAGATCAAAAATCTGTAGGGTCAAACCACCTTATTTACTATCTATTCTGTAAAGCATTTATTACCAATTTGTAAGATATTTATCCAATTTTATCCAGGTCATGAGAATCATTGACAACGTTCGACCAGATCGTCAAACAGTTATGTTCTCTGCTACATTCCCAAGGGCCATGGAAGCTTTAGCACGAAGAATACTGAACAAGCCAATAGAGGTCCAAGTTGGAGGCAGAAGCGTGGTGTGTTCTGATGTTGAACAGCACGTGGTTAGTACTATGACAATGCTTGTGATACAGGGCAACATACAATTTTGTAGAATATATAAATGGCACAAGAGTTGCCTTATTTTACTTGCAGGCTTGTTATGCTAATATCTGTGCTTGCTGGTGCATCTATCCTCACAGTGATGAACAGAACAGTTAGTGAAGAATAATGTAATATGCATTGTGGACTTTGGCTTTAAATAAACATTTTAATAAACAAGTTCTCTTTAGCAATGTCCATGGCCTTAATATAGAAATTTCTGCACGTTTCTGGTCATATCATGGCAGCCAGGCCCTGCCTTGTGCTAAACTGTTGTTTTCTCTTTCTTTGGCAGTAGTGTATGCATCCTATGTTCCCAATGTGGCCAAATAAATGCAATAAAGGGCCATACTTATGCATTGCCTATAAATTGTATCTGCCTGAAAAGGAAGAAGGGTTTAGGAATTACAGCTCTTAGGAATAGCTATCCCCCTTTTTTTTTCAAGGGACCAAAAGTATTTGGACAATTGAATATAATTAGAGATGAGCGAATTATTCAAAAATTCGGTTTCGGCTGATTCGCTCGAATTCGGCGAATAAATTCGCTTCGAGCCGAATATATTCGCTGCGAATTTAACTTAAAAAAGGGTGTTTCTAGGCTTCAGAGAGCCTTTATAGTAGTGCAGAACACTGTACCTTTAATTTAAATGCCCGTGGAGTCTGCAGGGGAAGAGAAATAATACATGGTCAGTCAGTATGACATGAAGATGAGTGCCGTCGATCTTAGAATCACCGCACACTTCACTCATTTGGGCAGTCACGGGCCAAAACCAGAGTGTGGAGTCCCCCCACAGTGTGGCGGTGGAGGCAGCAGCAATGGGAGGCCATACAGCACCCTATATGACAAAATGGAACCCACACCAGCAGTGTGAGGAGACCTGAAGTGGCACATGGCCGAGTGTGGCGATGGAGACACAGCAATGGGAGGCCGTACAGGGACCCATGAGACACTCGGACCTGGCAGCAGCATGAGAGGCGGTACGGGGCCCATGTCAGATTACGGCCTGCAGCAGCATAGGGAGTCGTACGGGGGCCCATGGCAGAACATGGCCTGCAGCAGCATGAGAGGCGGTACAGGCCATGGCAGTGTGGCGGAGCGTAAGCATAAAAATTGAAGCCATCACAGAGGCCTATGTTAAAAATCCCCCCACAGCAGCGTGGGGAGACGACTATCAAGAGACCAATGGCAGAGTGCGAGTCAGATGCAGCTTCCAATTGAGCCATACCACAGGCCTAGGTTTAAAAGTCCCTCACAGTTAATTGCCATACGAACTCTACTCCTCCGTGCAATCTACTTACGAGGCCCCTTTGGGCGGGTCGGGGGTCCAATTTGTGGTAGGGGATTGGTTTTTTTTTGGCCTGCTTGAGCGGTAATAACGGGTTTCTGTGCTGCCCTTTGGGTTTGTCTGGTTTAATTCGCCCCAAAAAACCCTAAACCCGTCCCCAGCGCTTTGTCAACGATTGGCCTTTTAAGTGATGAAAAACCCCGCGGGGGACCACGTTCTTTGGGGGAGGGGGTAAGGGGGCCATGAATCAGTAGGCCCTTTGGGCAGCACCCGTGGCAGACGACAGAGGCAATGGCGCAGGGTGGGGGTGTGGGCAGCTTTATTTGAATCCATACACAGGCCTGGGTTTTTAAAAAAAGGGGGGAACCCGGGTCGAAGCCCCCGTGAGCGACGCCCGAGAACGGGGCAGGGTGGCGGGGATGCGGGCGTATTCGGAACCCAAACCAGGCCTCGGTTAAAAAGCGGAAGCGGCAGCACCCGGTGAGCAGAGGGAACAGAGGCACATGGCGCGGGGGGGCGGGGGAAAAGGCCCAGCAGCAAGGGAAAGGGCCCATACAGCAAAAAAAAAGGAAAACCCCAAAGTGAAAAAGGAATTAAAGGGTTGGCCACATGGGAAGAATTCTGGCAAAAAAAACCTTTTAAAAAAGAATGGGGGGTCCGGGGTAAGGACCCCAGGGGGGCACCCCCTGGAAACCGGGGGGCAGGGGGCCAAAAAGGAGGAGAAAAGGCCCTTTTAAAGCGCTTGGTCCCCCCGGGGTTCGGGGGGCTGGGGGCCCGGGGGGGCCCCCCCCCCCCCCCCCCCCCCGGGGGGCGGGTAACAGGGGGCCCCATTGGCGGTTCCAACCTTTAACAGTTAAATTTTTAAGGCCAACAGGAGGCCTTTTTAATTGTTAAAAAGGTTCCTTTCCCCCACAAAGGTTGTTTTTGGGGAGGGGAAGGGAACCTACCCCCAAAGAGTTCCAAATTTTTGGGCGAAGTGGCGGACAAACCCTTTCCTTTTTTTTTGAAGGCCTTAACGGGCCCCTATTAAAAAGGCCCCCCCTGAAGGGAGCCTGGGTGGTTGGGGGGCAAAAAGACAAAATATCAAAGGGTCCAATGGGCAGGTAAAAGGGGGGGGCGGGGAGGCGGGGGGAAGCAAACCCTTAAATTAAAGGGCCCAAATAAAAGGGGCCCTATTTTTAAAAAACCCCCCCCAGCGAAAGTGTGGGGAGACGACTATCAAGGGGTCCAAGGGGCCGAGGGGCCCCGGGGAAGCAGACGTTTAATTGGGGATCAAGCAAGATTTACAAGGGGAAAGCCTTTGCCAAAAAGATTATTTACCGGACCCCCTTAAAGGAACAACCTCGAACCGGGGGGGTTTTGGTTGTGAAGCGAAAATCGGTTTTTTAAAAAAAGGTTTGGCTTCCTTGGGGAAATGGGTTTAAAACTGGGAAACTTAAACATTTTAAAAGGAAGGGGGTTTTGTTAAGGTTTCTCTCGGGGGAAATATTGTTTAAGCGAAATCAAAATTTATTGGGCAAAACCCAAGGAAATGGGTTGGCTTAAAAAGACTTTAAAGTTTGGAAGACTTAAAAAATTTTACGGCCGGCTTTTAAAGGGTTTTCCCCTTTCTTAAAAAGTGGTTTTGGAAAGGCCAATCTTTTTTGTCCTTTGTCAATTTTAATTCCGGGCGGAAAACCCCTTTTTTCCTTACTGGAATCCCAATTACCAAAAAAACCCCGGGCGGTAAAAGGGGGTAATTTTTTTGGTAAAAATTTTTGGAGAAAAACTGGGTTTTTTAGCCAAAGGCTTGAGCGAGGTTAAAAAAGGTCCCGGTGCCTTTTATTTCCGGCTTAAAAGGAAACCTTTTAAAAAGTCCCAAAAATTTTGTCAAAAGATTTTTTAAAAGGGAATTTCTCCCGGGGTGGAAAACTTTACGTTTATGTCACTGGAATGCTCTAATCCCCAAAAAAAATTTACCGCACCCGGCGTTTTAAATGGAATTTTAACTCTTTGGGAAAGTACCCAAAAGTGGTTGTGAAGCGAAAGTCAGTTTTTTTGACACCCAAAAAGGTTTAATTGCAGCTTGCCGTTTTGGGTGGAAACTGTACGTTTATGCATTGGGGAAAGCACTAATCACCCCAAAAAAAAAAATTACCGCCACCGGCGTTTTTTGGATTTAAAATCCTTTTTAACGTCCCAAAAGTGGTTGTGAAGCAGAAAGTCAGTTTATTGTACACAATCGGTCAATTGCAGCTTGCCCTTTTGGGTGGAAAATGTACGTTTTGTCACGGAATGCAAATAAACACCCAAAAAATTTTACCGCCAGCCCGGGGTTTAAAAAGGATTTAAACCCCTTTGAAAAGTAAAAAATAGTGGGGGGTGAAGCGAAAGTCCCGTTTTTTTTAGGACAAATTCGGGGCAAAATTTCAGCTTGGGCCCTTTTGGGTGGAAATTTAGTTTGTCACTGGAAATGCATAATCCCCAAAAAATATTACCGCCACCCGGGTGTAAATGGATTAAAAATCTTTGAACGTACAAATATGGTGTGTGAAGCAGAAAAGTCAGTTTATATTGTACACAATCGCAATTGCATCTTGCCGTTGGCTGGAAACTGTACGTTTGTGGTCACGGGAATGCACTAATACACCCAAAAAATTAATACCGCCAGCCGCCGTGTAAATGGATTTAACTCCTTTGAACGTACAATGTGGTTGTGAAGCAGAAAGTCCAGTTTATTTAGCACAGATTCGGTCAATTGCAGCTTGCGTTGGCTGGAAACTGTACGTTTATGGTCACTGTAATGCACAATCACCCAAATAATATTACCGCAGCCGGCGTGATAAAATGTATCTACTCTTGAACGTACAATAGTGGTTGTGAAGCAGTAAGTCAGTTTTATTTGCACAATTCGGCCAACTGCAAGAGCACCAACTGTAGCTCAATGACAGCCACCAAATAAAAAAGGGTGTAATGTCACTTTAAATTTTTCGATTCTTTGATAGCTGTGGCCCTAAAGTAAGATTCTGTGTATCCTTTGAGTAAACGATTCTGTGCCACCTAAAGTCCCGGTCGGCCCTAACTGTCTGGTCCCTTTAATACACACAGGTCTGTCTCACTTGATATGGACCGGAGGCTTATGGATATAATTCCTAAGGTGATTTGGCCCGCCGCCGATATTTATAGCTAACACTCATTACACAGTGCATGAGGCTAGGCTGAGATCGTGATTGGCTAATGCGATCACATGTCATGAATGCATTATGGGTCAGCGCTCTTGTCTGTGCGCGCCTTCCCAGAGATCCCGCCCCACTTCTTCTCTGTCCATTTTCTCACGTGGCCACCACATGTCGCCGCCATTTTTGGGAAAATTTCGATTCGTCGCGCCATCCGAAGTTTGCTAATCTTCGGATTCGTCGCGAATAGAATTTTTCCAATAAAAAATCTTCGGAACGAATACCACTTCGTCATGTTCGATTCGCTCATCTCTAAATATAATCATAAATAAAATGTTCATTTTCGATATTTTTGTATTGAGGTTGCTTTTGTAGTGTGTTTTGGATCATTGTCCATCTGTACTGTGAAGCGCTGTCCAATCAAACTGCATTTGGCTGCATCTGGGCTGACAGTATATCTCTAAACACTGCAGAATTCATCTGGCTGCTTCGGTCTTCTGTCACATCAATAAACACCAATGA